AATCGATCCAATGTAATAGGAGTTGGTGTTCTTAGTCTTTGGTTTCAAAGGGGTAGAGAAGAGAAGAAATCTTAATAGTAGAGGGACACCTAATTTATTTATCTTTCTCTCCACCTACCTAGATGCACATGCTCAAGTGATCTTCCTGAAATTTAGTTCTCACAATAATTCTGCAAGGGAGTTAGCTCCATTTTACAGAGGAACTGAGGTGTAGAAGAGTTAGAGAACTTAATAGGGTCTCACAGCAAGTTAATATGTCAAAGTCAAGTCTGTTTGACTTCAAAGCTTTTAGTTGTCGTAACATTGATATTAAACACATCTTGGAACCTAGAGAAGTTTTTTTTTTTTAAATTTATTAATAGCTTATTTATCACTCATATTCATAGCTCAGGAACACAGGTCAGTGACAAATGTCTATGTAAATTAGCCCAAAGAAATTCTTTGTATTTCAAAATTATTTTACGCTCTGAAAGACACCAGCCTTCCTTATCTCCTCAAAATCTTTCATAGAATCATAATTTCTGTAGAAATCTGCATATGCCTTCTTTCTTGGTTCAGCCACAGCAAACTTATAGAAAACTGCAACCCCCAGGGATACAACAAATGCTCCAACAATATAAATCCACAGGCACCTGGCCAGGAGGCCGTGCATCTGAGGTTTGGCCAAAGCACTGGAGGCCATGGTAGTTACTGTCCTTGATGGGTTGCCAACCTCAATGTGTCCTTCCCGGCTGGGGTGCACACAACTGTGGTCTAGCAGCCCCAGAGAAGTTTGATAGCTAGTGCTTCATTCCTTATTATAACCCTAATGATGTCATTATCAGTTTCTGGCTGATCCCAAATGCTCCCAGAGCTCTTTCGGATATTAGGTGAGGATATCCTGAGATTTTGTAGGAGCTAGTCAAGCCCCCTTCTTGAAATATTTATTTATCTATGATACGGTCTTTGTTGCTCAGGCTGGAGTACAATGGCAGGATCATAGCTCATTGCAGCCTCAAACTCCTGGACTCAAGTGATCTTCCTGCCTCAGCCTCTCAGGCCAGAAGTAGACTACAGGTGTATGTCTCCATCGCTAGCTAATTTTTCTTATTTTTTGAAGAGATAGAGTTTTGCCATGTTACCTAGAGTAGTCTTGTGCTTCTGGCCTTATGTAATCCTCTTCAGCCTCCCTAACTTCTGAGTGAGATTATAGGTGTGAGCCACCACACTCAGCAGCTTAGATTAATTTTGAAAATGACTGGTCATAGGTCAAAGCTCCCAAATTCATATATGCTGTCAAGAGACTCCTGCTTAAAAAAAAAAAAAAGAAAGAAAAAGCCTTCTCCTATTAGATTTCTATTCCCGTTCAGTGCCCCAAATTTGTTAATTTTTTCCTGCTAACTAGAACTTGCTGATTGGCATATGTCCTTAATGTTAACTAAAAAAACATTAATGTACTTTGGATTAAAGGTCCCGGTTCAGTGGTTCATGCCTGTAATCCTAACACTCTGGGAGGCCAGTGTAGGAGTATTGCTTGAGCTCAGAAATTGGAGACCAGCCTGAGTTAGAGTGAGACACCTATCTCTAAAAATAGCCGGGCATTGTAGTGGATGCCTATAGTCCTAGCTACAGGGAGCGTGAGGCAAGAGGATCACTTAAGCCCCAGAGTTTGAGGTTGCTGTGAGCTATGAGGTCATAGCACTCTACTGGGGCAAGAAAGACTCTCTCTGTCTCAGGGAAAAAAAATAAGGAAAACTGAACCCTCCTCACTTTCCCCCTTCATATTACAAATAAATTAAAACATTTTAAAATGTACTTTGGAAAAAAGAGCTTTATTTCTTATAAAGGGTAGCAGCTTATTGGCCATTGAAGCAGCTGGGGAAGCAGAGCCATAGCCAGAAGCCAGACACATACTTCAAAGAGACAAAAGGGAACAGGATTTTGTTCTGAGTGGTCAAATATACATATTTAACAAGCTTTAGGAGGAGTGACGAATATTTATGAAGGGAAATCACGTGCATGTAATTGTGCTTTATCTTGCTCAACCTGACATGGCTGGGAACTGAATTTGAAGGTGTTTCTGGGGCCTCTGTGGCTTGAGAGGGGTCCATTCAGTTAGCAGAGGATTTAGAATTTTATTTTTAGTTCACATAAGATTTATTATCACCTCTAGTTGTGTTATAGCAGTGGAACACAGTGGTTATGGGAAGAATCAAGTTTGATTTCCAGGTTTTTGACTTGAGCAAAATGGTTGATAGAGGTAGACTGGAAAGTTGGGGAACACTGGAAGAGGAGAAGGGAGAGTATTTTAGGCAAAAGGGATGGCATATCAGAAGGCCTACAGATGAAAGAGTATAGTATTTTCAAGGTAATGAATAAAGGAGCTCTCTGGAGAAATGCCTCACTCTAGGAAATATAATATGTGGGTAGCTGGAGAGGTTTAAAACAAAATTCAAAGGAGGCCTTAGAAAGCTATTTAGAGTGCAAAGCACTATGGGATTCCCACTGCTAAAAATGTACCCTCATCCATTCATTTACAATTCCAGGTACTACGATAGATAAATAGTGCCAGCCAATAGATACAGTTAACCTAGTGAAATGAATTAAACTGCCCATCTGATAAAGATGACTATAGGTCAGAGCATGCAATAACTGGAATTAACCATACCTATCTTTGGATTGAGAATTATATTTAACCTCCTAGTTTCCTTGTCCATACATTGTGAAAGTTAAATGAGATAATTAAAAGGTACTGGTCATATAGTAAGTGCTCCAAATGTGATGAATACAAACACTAATATCAAGACTGATCAGTTAGAAGGGAGATGTATAAAATCAAAAAAAGGTATTAGTGAGCAAACAGCAGTGCAGAATCAGCATCATGTGAAAACCCTGGATTTGGAGAACTTATGTACAAGTGGAGAAAAGATCAGGCCTCCTGGGCTATGGTAGGAATTGCCTCCCCAAAGCAATCCCTGCTGGAGTCAGCAAACTGACATCTCTCTCTTATTTTTATTTTTATTTTTATTAAATCATAGCTGTGGGCTCGGCTCCTGTGGCTCAAGTGGCTAAGGCACCAGCCACATACAGCTAAGGTGGTGGGTTCCAATCCAGCCCAGGCCTGCCAAACAGCAATGATGGCTGCAACCAAAAAAAAAATAGCCAGGTGTTGTGGTGGGCACCTGTGGTCCCAGCTACTTGGGAGGCAGAGGCAGAAGACTCACTTGAGCCCAGGAGTTGGAGATTGCTGTGAGCTGTGATGCCACGGCACTCCACCCAGGGGGACAGCTTGAGGCTCTGTTTCAAAAAAAAAAAAATCATAGCTGTGTATATTAATATAATCATGGGGTACAATGTACTGGTGTTATATACAATTTGAAATATTTTCATCAAACTGGTTAACATAGCCTTCACAGCATTTTCTTAGTTATTATGTTTAGACATTTATATTCTACACTTAGTAAATTTCGCATGTACCCTTGTAAGATGCACCACAGGTGTAGGCCCACCAATGACCCTCCCTCCAGGCATCTTCCCCTCCTCCTCCCCTCCCACTTTTTTCTAACTTTTATTATCATACGGCATCAGATCTTAAATTCCTTTCAAAATATGAGTGTGAGAAGGAGCCAATGTTTAGCCCAAGACTAAAAATGATTTCAAACAGATGGTGGCCTTTGCAAATCAACAAGAAAAAAAGTACTGGAATTTTTTATTTATTTTGGCAACACTTTCTTCTCTTCACTCTTATATTTGAATTTCATTCATGTTGAGGGACTTTACCTAACAAATGCAATCAATGCAATTTGTTTCTTTGTACCCTCAATGAATCCCCAACAACAATAAAAACAACAACAACAAAAAGAATTTCATTCATGTTTATAAATTTACAACTAGGGTATAATTACAAGCGTCTGTCTTGTGTTTTCCTCATTTGCTCATGTTACCAAATCTCCAGTCTTCTTCCATTGGCTTGGGCTCTGGGTGAGCAGGCTAAGGCTCAAATGCTAACTCTACATCTGCTGGCGTGTAATACAGTAAAAAAAAAGCCACCTTCGTGGGATTGTTGTGAGGAATAATGATGTCGTTTTAAGTGCTCCATAACTGGTAGCTGCAGTTTCCAAGTTTAGCTGGAGACCATTTATCACAAACACATCTCCTTTAACCTTTTCTTGTATTCTTCCTGCACATATGGAACGTGCCTCTGCAGACCCATACTCCTGGTTTTGTAGGCTGTGAGGACCTTGGCCCTTTTCCTGAGGTTTCTCGTAGTGCACGTCCTGCTCCTCTGTGTACTCCAGGCAAAGCTAGGAGGCGCTGGGGGAGCGGCAGAAGGGAGGTTGGACCCGGGAAGTTATGGCCAGTTATGGCCTGGCCTTGATTATCAAGGGCCTTGGGGATAAGTGGTGACACAGGGTGGTGACAAAGAGCAGGAGTCGTGGGCAGGACAACTGGGGAGCACACGGGGACAGTGACAGTTTCAAGGCAACAACCAAATTATATTCTGGGACCCCCTCTGGGTAATGAAGGGCAGGTAAAAAAATAGGTTCAGTCTTCCTTCTGTCCCTTCACTGGGAAGGACACACCCCTCTGGACCGGCTCCCCAGCGGCGCACAGAAAACCCACGATCGAGATTAGGCCTCCGAGCTGCCTAGACGCGCTCCGGAAATGCACGCCGCGGACTCCAAGGCTCAGCTTTGCCTCCGGGAGGTTTTGGAGCACCGCTCCAGGTGAGTGAGGGGCGCTGCAGCTTGGGGCCGAGTAGGGTGGCTCCGGCTCCGCCCGGGATTCAGGTTGGGTTGGCCAGCCACCTCGCGTTAGCGTCGCAGAGGCCGGGACGCTTCTGCTTTGTGCTCGCCTGGCTTCGGCCTGTTTTTAACTGTCAGGAGCCGTTGATTTCGCCCATTCTTTCCGCGACAAGAACATTTCCAATGCCTTCTGGGTTGGGACTCTCTTGGGAAAGCTTCACCTACCATTGCCCGTATATATATCCTCTTCTCTCACCCTTCCCTGAAGTGATTGCCTGTTTCTTGCATCGTATTCTGAAGAGATCTCGGCCTTGCAGCAGCATCAGAGATCAGATTTAACCCTTGGAAAAGCTGCCTGAGCAGATGTACCTGGAGTCCATGTGTCCATCCCCAGAACGGGAGCCTCGAAAGAGCACGGGTGAGGATATGAACTAGTTGGCTTATCTTT